CACACACACACACACACACACACACACACACACACACACACACACACACACACACACACAGATTGTGGAGGGAGGTAGCAGGTCATTGTAGTCAGTCATTGCTGGAGGCAGGTCGTATGTTCTTTATTGCCTTGTCATTGATAGGTCGACTGCTTGAGAGAGGGGAGGAGAGGGTGGGGGGGAGGAGAGAGTGGGAGAGAGGGAGAAAGAGAGAGAGGAGGGACAGAGGGAGGGAGAGGGGGAGGGCCAGAGAGATGGAGAGGGGGAGAGAGGGGGAGAGAGGGAGAGAGAGAGAGGGAAAGAGAGAGAAGGGGGGAGAGAGATTGAGCTCAAAGTTCACCCGTTGTTGAGAGGCAGATTGCACATCGCTTGCGCCATCGTGTGGAAGAGGGGAGCGAGAGAGAGGGTTGTGTCGTTCAGTGGGGGCAGTGCTTTGTTGTTCACTTGCAACAGTACACAGTCAGTGTTTGTGTGCACGTGTGTAACACGTTTGTTGAAAACGTGTGCGGCCATGGGAAGCAAGGAGGGGGGGTCAGCGGGGAAGGGGGATGCAGTGGGGAGTCTGCAGCGTAGGGGTGGTGGGCAGGGTTGTCGCCTGCCTCGAAGCCCTGCAAAAGCTGGAGCTGGCATGATGTGTGCTGTATGCCCCTGCAGTTTGTTGGGGGGCAGGCAAAACCTGACTGAAATGTCCGGCTGGTATGACTGACTGTTGTACCGGCACACAGAAAGAAATTTATCGGTCATGCAGCTCCTGGTAAATGGTCGTTACAGTACCAGTGTGACCATACATAGTGGTTGGCAGGACCCCTACTGACAGTACGGCTTTGTGGAAGATCGAGGTATTGCGCTGTCCAACATCACAATCTGCGGCCGATCTTCGAAATGCAATATTCAACCGCTGGTCTAGACCGTCAATGGGTGCAGGGCCTAGATTTTCCAGAGGTTCCCCATTTATGAGGTTTTTTTTTTTTTTTTTTTTTAAAGAAAGAAAAGGGCGACGGCCTTCAGATATCGTCATTGAGCTGACCAGCCCCAGACAATTCAGAAATATTCGGTTTTACTCGTCAAGTTCCATCAGCTGGATTCGAACCCGGGTCTGTATTTCAGCCTTTAAAATGGGTGTACCCACTGAGCTAGGCTCTTGGGTCATTTATGAGTTTCTGCAGTGGTCGAGATATTGCTTTTTTTTGGAATTCTTCCGGCTTTTCCTCAAATTTCCCAGGTCCTGGAAATAGTTTGTCCAGATTCCAAAGCTTGGTCAGCCTAGGCTTCATGATTACATCCATCTTGTAGAGCTGGAGCTTAAACCACCAGTACTTGGGCACTGCGCGCCGCGCCGGCTGCCCAAATCTCGAAGCAGCACGGGCTGTCGATTCGATTTATCGACGGCCCGCCGGCCGCGGAAATCGCGTAGCGTTAACGCTAAGGCGTCGCCCAAGTACTGGTGGTTTAAACCACCAGTACTTTTGACCCTTCCCTTGACGAGTCTCGAAACGCTCTGCGAGCCAGTGAAAAACGACCCGCGCGGGCCTTCTTTTGGCTGGTGCAGCCAGGCTGAGCCAGCCATTTTGCGCCGGTAGGCCGACCCCCCCGACACTTGCGGCCGCGTGCATGCCGCCTCGGAGAAATAGAAAAAGACTTGGAAACGTACTGGTGGCTGCTGTTCCCTATTTTCTCACGACTTTATTCTCCCATTCTCATGTTATCCTCTTTTTTATTTTTTTCCTTTCTTACCATTATCTTTTTCCAATTAAGATATTCTGTGTATGATGTACTTACAAGATTTGCAGTATAAGGAGATCTTGGTGCTTAGGAGGGACCAGTATTTGCCGGGTAGGACTGGGTACTTTTTTTTTTTTTTTTTTTTTTAATTGGTCTCCCACTGCCCGAAAGGGATATTGGCCTCTTCCTGTTACCATTTTATATACTTGTAAATCTTTATGCTTGCCGGGGATAGGTAACCGGATTAGACCCCTCAGAATAAAAAGGGGGCTGTGTTATTCAAAACAAAACCAAAACAGAAAATGATTCCTTCCGAGTTTCTGCAGCACGATAACACAGCCCCCTCAGAATAAAAAGGGGCCTGTGTTATCATGCTGGATCTCTGCAGCACGCAGAAAAAGACAAACAGGCACCGGCACAAAACATTTGCTTGGTCCCACCAGCCTTTTCCTTCTGGTAGGCTGGCGGCTTAAACTCATCTTCGTGACAAAACAACTAGGAAAGGGACTGGTGATCCTCTTACGTTGGAGATCTTTCTGACAAATGCCTTTGTGAGGCTGATCATCTTCCAGATTCCCTGCAGTTGTCAGGATGCACCTGCCACACACCACAACAAGAAATTCACAAATCAAAAAAAAAAAAAAATCACATCCTTCGTGATTCCCCCCCCCTCTCCTCCCCCCCCCCACACACACAAACAATAAAAAAACAAGGGGAAACTACGCGGGAGTCACAAAAGCGAGTTATCATTGCACTACGGGCCAATATACAGTTTCGAATTGCAGTTTGGGCGATGTATACAACCCAGCTTTCTGGCCAGGTGTAGGGTGCCTGAAGTGTAATTGCAAACTGCATCTTGCCCCATAGTGCAATTATAACTCGTTTTTGTGACTCTCCTCAAGTGCAATTGCAAACTGTATCTTGCCCCATACTGCAATTATAACTCGTTTTTGTGACTCTAATGAAGTTACCCCCAAAAACAAAGAACAAGTACTGATGCGCCAGGTTTTGAGTTCGCAAATCCAAAACACCACAGCCGACCCCTGTAGTTATGACACCACGGCCGCGGTACTTTCATTCCATATTCGGACTCGGTGGCTGTTTTCTTTGCTGATGCGTGTTTTTTTCACGCATTAGAAACTCAAAGGTGACGTCAACGTAGTTGCCCCCCCCCAAAAAAGCACGAATCAAAAGCCTAGGGAGAGAGTTATGTTCACGGTGATTAAGGGTACAAGACAAGGTCTCAAGGAGAAGAGAGTGACAGACCTCCAGAAGAAGAAAAAGAAGACGAAGAAATCAATGGCAAAGGTGAACCTGTGAAAAGACCAGTTCTCTGAAGGACACACAGCACAACATAAATTGAGAAAAGATTTCCTCATCAATGCATTTACTGCACGTCAAACACCGTAAAAACCATACGCATACGCATTCCCCTCGACGCGTTTCGATTTGCGAGTATTACAAGTCTTTTCAGGAGGGCACCACCAGCACCTCAGGACGGCAAATGAAAAGGACAAGTCCCATCCACCCTCTTTATAGCTCATGACAGACTGTCATCATGTACCACAAACCTCCCTTCGCTCCGACCCTCTCCATATTCCCCTTACTACCCTCCTCTCACCTTTATCCTCTCCACCACAGCCATAATCCCTCAACCTCGGATCGAATAGATCCCTGCGCGTCTTCCTGTTCCTGGATGACGGTGTACCCACAGCGGAATACCGCTCTCCCCATCGTCGAGCAAAAAGTCGGAGATCCGTCAGCGCAGCCCCCGCGAGCTATGTTGCAGTCGGGAGAGGGCAACTCTCTCGATCTTTCTCCAGTCTGAGACATACCCGCCACAGCGATGCTCAAAACAAGAGGTACAAAATTTCAGGCAGTCGGGTCCCGCCCACACACAAATTCGAATGGGATTTTTTGGACCTCCCTTGTGCCTTCGGTCTCGTCCCGGCCGGTACCATTTTGGTAGCTCTTAGGTACCACCGTGCCCAAACCCCCGGCCCACAACGTCCACTAGTCAGGACCACACTGACATTGCCCTCATTTCCAAAAAAACCTATTTTCTTCAACACCAGCTACTCTTTGCCTGCTCCTATACTCCTCGGTGCCTGAAACTTCCGACCAAATCCACACTAATCCGTCTATTCTGAATCTAATCTAGGGACCACCTACGTGACCCCCTAGGCCGCGAATCCTGCGGCCTCGGCCGCGGCCAAAGAGGCCTGCTGCTACCCCGCAGCCGAGGCCGTGCGGTCGACTTTTCCCGCGGCCTCGCCACGAGCAGGTGAAGCCACGCGCCGGAAATCAGGGCGCGTGCATTGCCTGCGCATGGCGGCCCCCACCATAATCAACTGAAAAAAAAGAGAAATTTTGGGGGGGTTCTTTTTCGGGTGGAAAAAAGAAACAAAGATAACAATTTTTTTTTAATGTTGTGCGTCTCTCTCTCTCTCTCTCTCTCTCTCTCTCTCTCTCTCTCTCTCTCTCTCTCTCTCTCTCTC